TTATCGGTACTGGGGAATCGAACTCACGACTGCCTGCTTGCAAGGCAGGTGCTTATGCCGCTGAGCTAAATCCCCAGCCCCCATTGGTTTATTTTAAAATAAACATGTTTTCCCAAGTTCTGTGAGCCACTCCAGCGAATTCATCGAACTTGAAGAGAGTATTGTTGTAACCCTGATTTACTGCCTGACAGAAGCACAGATAAAGTAGCTAGCCTTGCATTTGGCAGAGGAGAGTGTCTTTTGGACTAAGCCCTGATTCTATGGGATCTGATGCTACCTTTTAAATGTCCATGGCTATAGTGACTGATTGATATGTAGGGAAGGCACCCATCTGGTGTCAAAAATTGTCTTAGTTACTTTTTTCTCATTGCAGAGACAAAATACTCAATGCCCAAAAGTAAAGAAGAAAATGTTTATTTGACTTACAGTTTACAGAGGTTTCAGTTCACAATTGGCTGGCTCCAACAGGCCTCACAAAAGAGAAATATTCATGGTGGGCAGAAGGTAGAAATGCAATAAAGGACCTTACAGCATCTTTCTGCCCCTTTTATACTCTATCTAGGCTGCTGGGATTAGGACAGTGCCAAACCAATGGTGTATGTATTTAATAATTACCTACCCTTAATGCTAGCACCCGTAATACTGTCATGGTACCATGAATCAATCACATACACGAGATTCAACCACCTCTGAAAAGCCCTACCTGTGACCACAACACACGTCCTAACAGCTAGTGAGGTGTCACAAAATATATTTTTGAATATGGCTATTGGTGCATACAGAATGTTTTACTTGTATTTCTCCCTTTGTATATTTCACAGCATCTTGTAGCATTTGGTCTGTTATAATTTCCAACACTGAATGGCAGTGATGGCATCTTGTCCAATATGTTTCACCCCTGCCAAGACCCTCACTATATTTTCAGACCGAGTTTTGTATCTTTTTTTTTTTTTTTGTCTTTTTCCTTTTTATCAGTACCAGGGATCGAACTCACGACTGCCTGCTTCCTGCCGCTGAGCTAAACCTCCAGCCCCCAGACCAAGTTTTAATACTGGATTGTTCCACTTGCTTGTGTGACCATTTTATAACATTATAAACAGAGAAATATGTATTCTCATTGCTGTTTTCTTCATCACCTGAATCAAAAAGGTCTGCCTTCCCCATATCTCTATCAATCAATTCTTGTTCCATTTCACTGGCAAAGAACTTTAGCTCATATGGCCAACATCACAGCCATCATCACCTTCATTATAAATAATACTCCCACACCACTCTTCTGTTATAAAAACATGTATTTTACCATAATGGATCAACTTCACACATGAGTAATCTAATGATTCACTTTTGACCTCCAAAATTTGCAGATCTGGTTTTTCACTTACTACTATAATGAAGTGGGCTACTTCTAACAGAAAATCAAAAAAACTTTTGTTAAAACAAAATCTAAAGTGGTATGGGTATATTTTACCCTTTTGTGATGCTCAGGTAAACATGCAAAGTCTGTTAGGTGGAGCATCATGTTATTGAAAATCCTATTTTGACACTTTGGTACATGTGCACACAAGTGGGTAAACACAAAGATTGCTTCCTATATCCCTCAGGAAAAGGTAAAAATCATAGTCACTTTAGTATATTCAGAAAAAGTATCTGACAAAACACAGTATCACTTCATGATGAAAACTTTCAGCAGGTTAGGGATAGAATTTGCTAATTTGATAAGTTTCTATGAAAACCTCTTAAGTATAATGATGAAATACTGAACACTGTCTTATTTATACATGGAAGGAAACTCCCAACCTACGAAATGCCTGGTACAAGTTTGTGTTCTCTAAAATCAAAGAATCAATTTTAAGAACAGAGGTTAACAGCAGGATATACTGGGGAAAGAAAGCTTCTGTCAGACAGAAGGGGTCTCAAGATGGTTGCAGAGAATCCTGCCTTTTCTAGGAATTTTTATAGAGCAAGGTGAAGTGGGTACAAAGTGGGGAAAAATAGGAAATCATAAAGTGGGCATGAAGTGGAATAAAACTATGGAATAAAACTCAAGATTACAAGCATAACTGCTCAGGTAATATTGATTAAATTGAAGTCAAATGAGGAAGCAAGCCATTGGCAAGCCAGTGTAAAACCAACTGGGTTCTTTTTATAGGAGATTGTGTCAGTGATTCTTCCAGGCTTTCTTTTGATACCTACTCAGAATATTAATCCCTGTTGTTTTCCTTAGGGAAAGTATGTGGTGCATTTATTTCATCTTTTGTCTCCCCCACAATTGCAATGTATCTTGTCTTTTGCACTGGCTCCCTTAGGTCCTAGCCCTGTCTGGCTGCCAATTTAGCTGTCTGTAACACTATTGATACTGGGGAATGAAACTCCCAACCTGCTAGATGTCTAAAACACCAAGTTCATGTTCTCTAAAATCAAGGAATAAGGCCAGGGATATAGCTCAGCAGCATAAGCACCTAGCTAGCAAGCCCAAGGTCCTGAGTTCAATTATTGGTACCAAAAAATAAGAAATAAAATCAAGGAATGAATTCTAGGAATAATGGAGGTTAAGAGATGGAAGAATGTATTGAAAGCTTTATTGAGAGGGCCAGAAAAAGGCCAGAAAGTGTGTTGCCAGTCAACATTGGTTTTCAAGGGTGTTTATTGAGCAGAGCCACGAGGTAAGGTGGGCTTAAGATGGGACAAAGCTATAATCAAAAGATTACAAGTATGGTCACTCAGGTAACATTAATCCAATGACAAATCATAGGATGGGCATGAGGTGGGACAAAAGGATAGTCAACTGACAAGTATATAAGTATTATTGCTAGGGTAATACTGATTAAATGGGGATCAAATAGGGAAACAAGTCACATAGCAAGCACAAATGGAGGGACAAGAACTTTCCTGGAAGGGTGTGAGTTAAAGAGGTTTGGGCCCTATCTCAAGTTGATTGTTGCCTACTTAGAATATGAATCACTGCTGTTCATCCCTAGGGGAAGTATATAGGTGAGTAGTTCCTCTTGAAGTCTGGCCTTCAGTGAATGCACCCAAGCCACAGTTGTCTTCTACAATGACCTCTCAAAGGACAGCCCTGTCTAACTGCCTATATTTCTAAGTAACTTAGCTATCTATAATACTATGATTTTAAAAAAAGGCAACAGAAGCCACTAGACTTAGGGGCACATGCCTGTATAATCCCAGCACTCTGGGAGACTGGGCAGGAGGATCACAGTTCTGGCCCGGCCTGGGTATCTTAGTGAGACCCTGTTTCAAGGTAATGTATTAAAAGGGCTGGAAATGTAGCTGAGTGTGAAGGTCTGGGTTCAATCCCTAATATTATTCCCCTCCAAAAGTAACAATGTCTATTAACATTACTTTCATTCAACATTGTATTAGAATTTCCAGTAATTACAACTAGGCAATATAAACAAATAAATATAAACACTGGAAAATAACATCCCCCTAAAAGGAAAATAAAATCCCTAAAAGAAGCTATAAACCAAATGCTAAAATTTGTAACTAAATTTACACTTGATTTTAGCCAAAAGGCCAAGAAACGATGTAACTAAATTTAGAAAGGTTGCTGGATATGAAATTATTAGGTCATAGTTAACAAATAATTTTACATACTAAAGTATAGTAACTGTTTTAAGCATTGTAGGCCAAGAAGCAAAACCAAAGAGAGAATAAATTCCTACAGTTTTAATTGAAAAAATACAAAACTTAACCAAAACCAACCAAACCATCTCTGACTTTGCTATTTTTCCTACCCATGCCTCAAGTATCAAATATGTAATTCTACTTAAACACTGATCTCTTCAACAAATCATAATATAAAGGACTCTTTCTATGAGACTGTTTAAAAACTATGGAGAAAATGAGTGTACTGCTAAATGGTTCCATAAAAATTAACTCTAGAAAGGGTGTTTGAAGGTATACTGGAAAAATCCATCTTCGTATTGTCATCATTAACTGGAAAAAGAAGACCTAGAGACCAGATAAATAGCTATTATTTGGCGGGGCATTTCAGATGAATTTATTCTTGGGGACTAGGAATTGTACAGTCTCTTTGGCTCCTTGCCTCATCGGCTGATTTTGGAACTCTGAAATCACCTTCCTCTTGGAAATCACTTTCCTCTCTGTCAATGAGATTAGCACCCAGGTATTGGGGATGGCATGTTTCTTTTATGATGTTGCCCATTCTACCACAGCCTCTATGTTCCAAGAAAAGCACTCTAACTCCTCCACTACACTGGCTAATAAATAGTAGCTAGGGCCAGGGATATAGCTCAGTGGCACAGCACCTGCCTGGCAAGCACAAGGTTGTGGGTTCCATTCCCTGTACCAAATAAACAATGGCTAGCTTGGAGTGTCATGCTTTCTGCCCATTCTGAGAGACTGACTTCCCAGTCTCCATCAAGCCTTATTAAATTTGTCTCTTCTTTCATCCTTTCATACAGACAGTTGGGGACCTTGGCTAGATCACCGATAGTTACTCTACATCCTGAAAAACAGGCATTTTATAAACAAAAAGTCAAAATGACCTCTGGCTTGGCTTTAAGATACACAAATGCAATGTTTTCTTCTTCCCAGAAGTCTTCTCTGGGAATATAGCAAAGTGTGGAGATAAAAAAGAATCATGCAGCCAGGTGTGGTCACACACACACACACACACACACACACACACACACACACACACACAATCTGTAATCCTATCACTTGGAAGACTGAGGTAGGAAGATTGATTAGAGTTGGAGGCCAGCCTGGATTACATAGTGAGTTTAAGGACAGTCTGAACTATACAGAGAGGCCCTGTCTCAAACATAGGGAGGGAATCATGAAATAGCCAGTCTTTCATGGAGGTAAGCTAAATGCACTATCTTCACCACACATAAGCCTCCATCACCCATATTCAATGGAAATATGAGACTGAAATACTATTGACCTTTCCTTGTGTCTTAAGAGACATCAGATTCACTATAGTTTGGCACTGACATCAGTTTCTGTGTTCACAGCAGTTTCACCACAGAGCTATGAAGACGTTGAGAATCTGCAATATGCAAACTGCCTCTGTAGAGCTTCTAAAAGGGATCACTAGAGGAAGGAATCCTATTCTTGGAGCCTCAATATCCTGTCTCCCCAAGACACTGCCTTTGAGTAACTGCAGCTCCAAATTTTCCATACCAAATGTAAGACTATGGTTATATAGTTAAGAGCTTTTTGCTCTAGGTCTCAAATATCCAACTTACCCTTCCAAAGTCATTTGATTAAATGCTTTGTGTTGTAGCTATATGGGGAAATGACATAGGCAATAAAGAAATCTCAGTGTAACAAATTCTGAGAAAACATGGAATTTACAGTTGGCCAGGGGATCCACTATACTGTATTAGGTTGGACAACAAATAATGTGCAGGATGAAAACAACAGAACCTTGCATTAGAATAGAAGCCTCAGCGGGGCGTGGTGGCTCATGCCTGTAATCCCAGCACTCTGAGGTGGGAGGATCATTGCGAGTTCAAGACCAGCCTGGGCTACAAAGTGAGCTCAAGGCCAGCCTGAACTGCATAGCGAGATCCCGTCTCAAAAAAAAAAAAAAAAAAGCTTCAGTCTTTCACAGTAATATGCATCTCGTGTCCATATAATATTCAACTATAGCACTGCTAAAATGAAATTCTACCCTGCTTTAAAAAAAAAAAACCTAAATTGGGCGTGACGGCATACACCTGTAATGCAGGCTGGGGATGTAGCTCAGGGGTACGACGCCCCAGGGTGGTTCGATCTTGGTGGGGCGGTGTACACTGGACCAGTTATCAACAATGTCTCAGCATCACTTCGTCATCACTCACAGCCGCCAACCACGGTCCAGCAAATGGCCCGGTCCCCACTTAAAGTCTCAGAAGTCCGATCGAAAGCAGTCAGGCCCTCTTCGCTCGCGACTCGTTGACAATCACACCCGACATCGACGCGGGTCACACACAACCGCACGCACGCGACGATCACGCAAACGCCCTCCTCCGCGGGGGACTCGTATCTGCCTCAGACTTCTGTGCGCCGCAGAACTCTTCTCATACCCGGAGCCGGGACGCCAACTGACCATGTAAAAAACGCTGACCGAAAGCCAGAGCAAAATAAGCCAGAAGTCTACGTTTACGGGTAAGCCTGGGGGCTTGGGAGAAACGTGCTGCTGTGGAAGCCGCGCAGATTTTTACATGGCTGGGGAAAGAAACAGCAAGCAAGACTGCGCAGCTCCTAACGGGTCGCCGCGGAGGCTCCTGGGAGCGGGAGCCTACCGCCAGAGTGCGCAGGCGCACAGGACAGCCCAGGCCGGGGGTGAGGCTGGTAGGTTTTCGGGGCTCTGAGAAGCGTGAAGAGTCTACTGGGAGCTTCAGCCAGAGACAGCGGACTGAGCGAGCGGAACCCGGGGAGGGGACCCGGGAGAAATTCGGAATTGGAGTCAGACCTGGTAATTCTGGTAATTTCAGACGCTCAGATCAGTGGGAACTGGGTCTCGGGCGTGGTCCATGGGCGTGACCCTAGGGATGCTCACCTTGTGACCTGGAGCTAGCCCTGCGCTGGAGGATTTTGTCTGTGTGATCCCGAGACTGCCGTCACGGGGGTGGGAGGAAACAAAGGGATGGGTCCCTTAGGTAGCGGGTACTGCATGTAGATACCCCCTGCGACGAACCCACTGTGTTTTGGGTGAGTGCTCTTCTTTGGGATACGGCATCTGATTGTGTGAAAAGACCCTGTTACTGCGTGGAATTTCCCGTGTATCTGTTTTGTAGTTGCTGTTGTTCGTTTGTTTACTGGAAATTGAACCCAGGACCTACCTTTTTACTGAGCTATGTCCCTTTAAAAATTTTTTTCTTTAATTTTTTAATTCTGAGTCAGGATCTCACTAAATCTAAATTGCCCAGGCCCTGGTCAAACTTGGCGACTTTCCTGAGTCTCCCAGAGTGCTAGAATTACATATGTGCCCAGCTTGTATCTATTTTTAGGTTAGATGTGGATCGTTGTGTAAGTATATGCAAAATGAAAGGGTTTTGTGACTGTGACTGTGATTGTGCTATACGTGGTTATGAATGACAAGAGTTGGTGGTTTTCTAAAGGGTCTTTGTTACCGTGTGTTTATATGGTACTGTTATTTCTGACGGTTTTGTGGTCACGGTAGGTTAAATATTTAAATGATTAAGGAACTTGTATGACCACATTTAGTTGTGTAATATTTGATAATCAATATCTATTAAGTCTGCCTCCATCAATCTCAACTAGATAGCAGTTTAGCAAATAAGCTCAGTGCTTTGGGAGCCTGAGACAGGTATATTGCATCTTCAAGCCTAGCCTGAGCAATTTAGCGATTTAGTCGACTTCTGTCTCAAAAAAAAAGTCAGGCGGGTGGCGCACTCCTGGAATCCCAGCACTTCGGAGTCTGAAGTTAAAGACCAGCCTGGGCTACAAAGTGAGCCCAAGGCCAGCCTGAACTGCACAGTGAGACTCTGTCTCAAAAAGACAAATGAATAAAATAAAAATAAAAGCCGAAATAAGCCAGGCATGGTGGCACATGCCTTAATGCCAGCAGCACTCAGGAGGCTGAGGCAGAAGGAGCAGTACAAATTCAAGGCCAGCCTGGGCTATATAGTGGACTCAAAGTCAGCCTGAATTACATAGGAGACATTGTCTCCAAAACAAACAAAACTATAATAATAGTACATGAAGGACTATTTGGAGACAAAATGGGGAAGATCTGATTTTATTTCTCTACCTACAGGCATACTGAGAATCAGACTAATAGATATCAGCAAAAATCTAAAGGAAGGGACTGACTATATATAGGTTTTAAAGAATCTTGAAAAGTGAGTTTAGAGCTGTATGGGTAATCAATGCAGGTTGGTACATAGAGTTGGTCAGGGGACTGCAGAGTGACCTTACCCCCACATTAAATTTTTTATTGCCCTGGTTCTTGTTTACCAGGAGCAAGCTATTGCCAAGTAATGGAGTGTCCATTGTTTGTAGTGGACAGCCCAAGTCTCTCTCAAGCTACTCTCAGGCCAATCCTCTTAAAAATCAACCAAGTAAATAAATACATGGCACGTTCAACCCCCCGTACCACACTAAATAAGAATAAATAAATAAGATACAAATATTGGAAAGGAATAGGTGAGATTTTTGTAATTTCCAGATGGTGAAAAATTTCATATTAACTAAAATGAATGTGTTGAATAGTATCCCATTGGGAACATGTGGAAAATAACCAGTAAATTTTTACTCATAACTATCTCTTTCAGCTCTTGTAAGTGAATTTTTCCACTCCAGATAAAAACAGTGACCAAACCAATAGCTTCTTCAGGCATTCTAAAATAACTAAAAGTGTTTGTCAAATCTTTATATGACAAAGATAATTTAGTAATTATATAAGAAACTAACAAAATTATTTGCAATTTAAAATGAATAAAGAATAAATTTCCTAAATTAAAAAAAACACACAGTGGCTAGGGATATACATCAATGGTAGACTGTTTGCCTAGCATCCTGGGTTTGAACCCCAGCATCACAAACAAAACAAAGTAAAATAAAAAATAATGTAAACTAACTAGAAAGCAAAAAGCTGTGAAAAAGTAAAACAGTTTTAAGACATGCTATTACTGAAAATAAAGAATATCTTTAATATTTGCTCAGTACTAGGAACTGAACTTAGTGTCAAGCTACATGCCCAGGAGTACTTTTTTATATTTTATTTTTTCAAGTTAGCCAGGCTGGTCTCAAATTTGCAGTTCTTCTGCCCCAGTCTCCTGATAGCTGGTACTGTAGGCATGTGCTGCTATGCCACCATCTGCTATGCTTAAACATTTTAAAAGGATCCTCACTCAGAATAAGATGTGAATACATAAGAGCTGCTGAATGGATCTGAGAGGCAGATAAAAAATTCTCAACTGATTTAATCAAGGTATGGAAAGTTCTCCTCATGTACCACTGATGACAGTATAAATTGATCGAAAGACCATGAAGAACAGTTTGGAAATATACAATAAAGCTATGTCCCATGGGAAAAGGCAAACTATCATAGATACCCAAGAATCCATTCTACCTGAACAGGAGACTAGTTTCTGATGGTGATGAGAGCAGGATTTGTCCATTGTCCCCATAAATCTGTCCTAGATTTATGACAGGGAAATTCCTGGAATAGTGAAAATTAATGCAGATTTAACTAAGTTATTCTAAGAGATCTAAGTCAAGTGTGTTCTCACATGATTTATATCTTTATCTTTGTCTTTGTAGGACTCTTCTCTTTTTCAAAAGAAGAGTTCAAAATAGAAGGTTCATCTCTTGTAAAACTTGAAGCCATGTCTAAGGTGAGATGTTTCCTCTCTTTTTTTTTTCAGGGAATGTAAGTATTTGTTTATCAGTGTGGCTTAAATTTCCTCATTACTGGGATTTACTTTCATAAAACGGTCTCTGGTCAGGGTTCAGATTAGAGTGAAGCAAGCATGAGGTACCATATTTAAGGGCTGTTCTTTCCTAACTTTGGCATCCTACCCTGTTCCCAATTTCTCCATTCCAAACGGAGAAAGTTAAGCCTTCTGCTCATAACCAGTGTTCACATATTGATTTGGTATATTTATCATCTTCTTTCTCAGTGTACTACTTGACCAGAAAGTATTTTCTTGATTTAAATGGAAATATATTACTTGAATGAATCTATCTTGTTTTCACACTGATTTTAAAATCTCAGCTGAGAGGCTGGGGGTTTAGCTCAGCGGCGTAAGTGCCTGCTTGGCAAACGTGAGGTTGAGTTTCATCCCCAGCACCAAATAAATAAATAAATAAATAAATAAAATCTAAGTTGTAAGTAGTTGAAGAGCACACGTGGATCATCTCTACTAATTGAAATTTTGTAACAACATGGTGGCAGTGAAGTTTTATGTTTGTGGGAAACTATCCTATTTTGTGAGGTTTGGGGAATAGATATTTGATTATAATCTTATACAGAAAACTCAGGTTATATGTTCTTCCTCTCTGATCCATCTGTATAATCCACATCTGCCACCAGTTTCTACAAATCATGGGATGCCAGTGAAAACCTTTTTAGTATTCCAATGTTCTTGTAAATTTAATATTATCTTTTAGATTTTTTCTCTTTCTGTTTTGTTTTTGTACTATGAGGTACTTGGTACTGAGTACTAGGGGCCTTCACACTGAGCTAAATCTCCAGTCCTTTTTATTTTGAGACAGGTCCTCACTAATTTTCCCAGGCACAGTTCTCCTGCATCTGCTCGAACAAAGTGCTTAGATTATACAGTAACTATGTACCACCATGACTAGATTTCTAATGATTTTTTGTGTGCAAAAGGAGATATATTCTTGAGGAGTCTATTCTTGAGTCAAGGTGGTACTTTGTCCTATTTTCATTTTCCTTTCAGAAAATTCTTCATTTTTCAACCTTTAAATAAGGTTTCCCCATCCACTAATTGGTTCTCTTTTCTCCACTGCTTCTTTTTTGTCCCTGTATACCAGATTCACTGTGAAGGCTACACCTCTGTGATTGCAGTAACTCTCAGATACTTCTATCCATTCTTGGCAGAGTATAAAAACCATGTGTTTAACATCCAATAATTATCACATGTGTATGTTCTGTAGGCACTTCAAGTATAATTCATGGTTTGCCTCATTACATCTTTTGGTCCAGCCTAATCTTTCTTCTATTCCCATTTCCATTTTCTAAGTTCCAGCACCTGCACACTGGCCTATGTACATAAGCCAAGAGTTATGCCTGTCTTTATTCCATTTTACACCAATTTCTGACTCATTTTTGTCACACTGGGTCATGTAAGAACCAGTTATTCTCTGTAGCCTCCTAATGTCTGTAATCTAGAGGCAACTCTTAACTGTCTTTTTTCACCTAACACACCTTAAGCTCTCTCTAGTATTTAACAGTATTGCCTATAGAGTATAAATTTTATCAAATAATATGTATTTGACTTATGTTTCTTCATATTCCTTAAGCAGCAGGCCCCAATAGAGATTATATGACAGTATATATACTGTCATATACACATATATACAAGACAATATATTGGCAGGGAAAAAAATTCTAACAGTTTCCATTTAAAGTAGTAATCATGGGGCTGGGGATTTAGCTCAGTGCCATAGGTGCCTGCCTTACAAGCACGCAATCCTGAGTTCGATCCCGGTACCAAAAAAACAAAACAAAAACAAAAACATGGAGAAGAGTAGTAATCATGAAAGCCAGGTGTGATACCACATTTCTGTCGTCATACTGATCTGGAAGGCTGAGGCAGGAGGATTGCAAGTTATAGCCAAGTTTGGGCAACTTAGTGATTTAGTAAGACCCTGTCTAAAAATAAAAAATGAAAAGACCTAAGGATGTAGCCTGTGAAAAGGCCATGGATTCAATTCTCAATTCCCAGTGCTACCAAAAAAACCCAAAAAACAAAAAAACCAGTAGTAATTATTAAGAATGTAGGTTGGCATTAATACTTACTCATGATATGTGAGTATGTTAGAAATGCACTAAGTACTTTTTTTTTTTTTTTTGTCTTTTTCTTTTTTTATCGGTACCAGGGATTGAACTCACGACTGCCTGCTTGCAAAGCAGGCGCTTATGCCACTGAGCTAAATCCTCAGCCCCTGCACTAAGTACTTTTTAAGAGTAGGAACATTTATTGAGGGAAAAAGCTTCTGTCAGAGAGACAGAGGGGTCCCAAGTGGGCTGCTATTTCTTTAAAATAGCACTTTAGCTGGAGTGGTGGCATGCACCTTTTATCCCAGCATTTGGGAGGTTGAGGCAAGAGAATCTTTGTGAGTTCAAGATCAGCCTGGGTTACAAAGTGAGCTCAAGGCCAGCCTGAACTGCAAAGTGAGACCCTGTCTCAAAAAAGACAAAAAAAAAAAAAAAAGTATTTAAAAAAAACAAAGGCTGAGGTTGCAGCTCTATAATACAGCACTTGGTTTTTTTATCCCCATAAATTTTTAAAAGCTTATGCCCTGTATTTTTCAAAACAAACAAATTTATTGTGAGTACAAAGCTTTTATGTCCTCAATGAAATCTCAGGATACAAAATGAAATATTTCTTTGGTTTGTGACACTTTCCCCTGGTACTACGTCATTGCATCTGTAAAACCTATTAAATTCATTTATTTTCATTTATGCTTCTTTCTTAGCCTGTGACTTCTCATGAGCAGGATCAATATTTTATTCATTTTGGTCACCAGACTACAGTCACATTCAGACAGATACTGTGATATCAGTGTGTATATTTTAGCATGAGAGAGTAAGTAAATACTGATGAAAGCATTTGTAGGAAGAAATTTCCTTTAAGACACAAAATAAGAAAACTAGACTGACCACATTGTCAGAACTAGGTCTCCAATATCTAGTTCTCACCCATTTCCGATCACTTCAGGATGAACTAGAGTGTGCCCTTACAGGGATCAGTGTCATTGAAGGATGTGACTGTGGACTTCACTGAGGAAGAGTGGCAGCAGCTGGACACAGCTCAGAAGGCCCTGTACAGGGATGTGATGTTGGAAAACTACCGCCACTTCATCTCTGTGGGTAAGGGAACACTCTGCATCTTTCAGTGTTATGTGTCTTCTTTTAAGAGTCTCTGAAAAATAAGAAACTGAAATTCAGTGATCAAAGGAGAGTCACTTTATTAACAGAAAATATCACTATACCCTCACTTGCCTAATACAGGGTATTAACTTTGGTATTAATTGATGTGTATCTTATGCAGATACACCCTTTGATGCTGAATCTTTCTCTTAGTTTGAAGTATAAACAGTTAAGACCAGTTTCATTTTTCATTATTAGGGTTTCACATAACTAAGCCTCATATGATCTGCAAATTGGAACAAGGAGAAGAGCTATGGACAGAGAGAATTTTTCCAAGTCAGAGCTACCTGAGTAAGTCTGTAAGATAAATGTCCACTGAACATTAAATCTCAGCTGATTAACAATTCAAAAAATCAGATCCCTTCAGCTTGGTACAGTGTTTCATGCCCTGTAATCTCAGCATTCTGGGAAGCTGAGACAGGAAAATAGCAAGTTCAAGCTTAGGCTGAACACGTTAGCAAGACCCTTTATCAAAATTTTAAAAATAAAAAATGGCTGGGAATATACTACAATTTGAAAACCCTAGGTTTAACCTCCAGTACTGCCAAAAAAAAAAAAAAAAAAGAAAGAAAGAAAAGTTGTTTTCAGGAAGTTGGTATTTGTTTTTTCATTTGTTTGTTTTTTGAGACAGGGTTGTCTGTACATAGTTCTGGCTGGCCTTGAACTCACTTGTGTAGCAGCACAGGCTGGCCTTGATCTCACAGTGATACTCCTGCCTCAGCCTCTGAAGTGCTGGTATTACATGCACCACTATACCTGGCGAGGAATTTATTTTTTTTAGTTGTGATAAAATATGTATAATATAAATTTACCATGTTTTTTGATTTTTTTTTTTTTTTTTTTTTGGTGTTAGGGATTGAACTCACAGCCTTGTACTTACCACTTACCAGGCAGGTGCTTGGACAGCCAAGCTAAGCCCCCGGCCCTATCTTTTTAGTTTTATTTGAGATAGAGTCTCACTTTATAACTCAGGCTGGCCTTAACTCATTGTGTAACCCAGGCTGACCTCAAACAAAGGAATGCTCCTGTCTCAGCCTCATGAAACTAGGATTATAGGAATGGGCCACTATCCACAGTGAAAACTGGCCATTTTAAAAACAGTTTTAAGGATAATACTTTGATATCATTAAATATATTCACAGTGTTTTGTAACCATCACCACCATCGTTTGGTAGAACTCTTTTACAAAACTGAAACACTATACTATTTAGACAATAAATTCCCATTAGCCATACTTCCTAGCCCCCAGAAACAACCACTCTATTTTCTGTCTCTGTAAATTGTACTACCTTAAGTACCTTTTATAAGCAGAATCATTTAATATTTGTACTTTTTGTAACTGGTTTGCTTCATGTAACATAACATCCTCAAAATTCATTCATTTTGTCACATATATAAAAATTTCTTTCCTTTTTAAGGCTAATATTCCATTGTACACATAGACATTTTGCTTATTCACACTGTTGATTACATGAGTTCCTTCCATCTTTTGACTCTTGTGAATAATGCTGCTGTGTGAATGTGCGGATATCACTGTGAGTCCCTGTTTTCACTTCTTTGGGGTGTATACCCAGAAGTAGAATTGCTGGATCATGTGGGAATTCTGTTTAATTTTTATGGAGTTATCATACTATTTTCCACAGTTGTTGCACAATTTTATATTTCCGCCTTAGTGCCCAAGGGTTTCAATACTTGTCCATTTTTACTAACACTTGTTATTTTCTAGGGTTGTTTGGTTTTGTTATTGTTTTTCACTACTGGAGACTGAACCCAAGGCCTGCACTCTGCCACTGTGTTACATCCCAGCATTTTTGAAATTTTATTTTGAGACGAGGTTTCACCAAGGTGTCCAGGCTTGTTTTGGAGTTTCAGTTCTCCCGCTTCAGCTTCCTAAGTAGCTGGGATTACTTAGGCATGTGCCACTGTGTTCAGCATTTCCTAGGTTTTTGTTTTGTACATCCCCAGACTTTAAAAAAACATTTTTTATTTTAAAACAGAATCTTGCTAAGTTTCTAAGTTGCCCAGTTTGGGTTTAAACTTTTGATCCTCCTCCCTCAGTTAGCATCACAGACTGCTGGGATTACAAGCATGTACCGCCATACCCAGTGGGTTTTTTGGATAGTAGTCATCCTGATAGTGATCTTTTTAAAGACCTGAGATCTTTGAAGTATCTGTACATGGTTGACATTCATACTTCTGGAATCTAAACTTTAGTTTTAAGTGTCACTTCCCATTTTAATCTTTTCCTTTGCCTTGTGTTTCTAGAAATATTGGCTGCTATTACCTTGCCAGGAATCCATTCCAGGCTTTGTACATTTAATGTACATAGAAATCTTAAATGTAAAGTTCTTCAAGTTCTGACAGAAGTACAAAATTATGTTTCCTAAGGATATTTCCATCGACCTATTAAATTCTATAGGCCTCATCCATGTCAAATCCCTTCCACTCAGATAATCACAGTTGTGATTTTTACCAGCTTGCATTAATTCTGTTTATTCTAGACCTTCTTTCATTCAGCTTACTAAGAGATTTATACATTTTTTGCATGTATATCTAGTTTGTTATTTTAATTGGAATATAATATTCAATTGTACAAATATACTATTTTGTATATCTCCTGTTAATAGAAAATTGAGGTGTTCCAGTTTGAGACTATTGAGAATAAAGCTGCTGTAAACATTCTAATAACAGTCTCTTTGTGGACATAGTGTTTTATGTCGCCTCAGTAAACACTTAGCAGTGATATTGCTGGTTTATAAGGCAGGTATATATTTAACTTTTTGAGTTACTGTGTCATTTTAGACTTTCACTAAAAATGTATGAGAATTTTTATTGCCCCACATTCTCTTCTTCATTTAACACTATCAATATTTTCATTTTGGGCATTCTGATATATTTTTGCAATTTAGTTTAGATTTCTCTTATTACTATGATGTAAACCTTTTCAAGTACTTTTGACATTAGAAGCATTGGGTCAGATGTTTTATTCATTTCTTTAATTGGGTAGTATATATTTTTCACTGAATAGTTGGAATTCTTTATATGTTTTAGATAGGAATGTTTCATTCAATGTATACATTGCAAATATTTCCCTTAGTATGTGACTTATGATTTCATTTTTGTGATTTTTCATGAGCATAAGTTTTTAGCTTTGGTGAAATCCAGCTTTTTTTTTCTTTTATAATTAGTTATTTGACCTCACAAATATTTGTCTGGGCTAGATTGTGATTCTAGTTTCCTACATATTCTTCTAAGAATTTTGTATATATTTTGCTTTTATCATTAGTTGTGTGTTCCATCTCTTGTTAGGTTTTATTTATGATTCGAGGTACATTAAAGATGAATTTTCATCCATATGGATATTAATTTATTCTATCCTCATTTGTTGAATTGGCTTGATGATCACATAGAAGAACATTATTTGATGGTATTTGTGTCAGTCTGTTTTTGTATTCTGTATTCTTTTTTATTGATTCATTTTAAATCATAGAGCCAATATCACCTAGTATGTGATTATAATAAACTCTCAGGGACAATTAGATAAATCCTCCAACTATATTCCTTTTGGTTATTGTAAATACTTAGGGTGTTTGTTTTTTTGTTTGTTTGGGGTTTTTTTGTTCTTGTTTTTATTGGTACTGGGATCAAACCCCAATGCTTGCCAAGTAGGTGCTGTACTGCTAAGCTACATCCCTAGCCCTAATAATTTTCTTTTCAAATATATTTTAGAATGAAATTCTTGACTTCTTTAAATAAATGAGCTGAGATTTTTATTTGTGAGGACTAATATCATTGGTTTAGCCTTCTGATATGTAACTGTGTTATAGCTTTCCATTTTGGTTAGCTTCTGGGATTCCTATAAGTATTACTTATATTATTATATTATATTATATTATTTTTAGCATGCAGGTCCTACATCTCATTCATAACACTTGTCTCTAAGGTTGACTATTTTTGATACTATTTGAAGTTGTGTGTGTGTGTTTGTGTATGCACACATATGTACATGCTGTTACTTGAACCCTGAGCTTCATGTATGCACCATTGAGTTACACTTCCAGCCCAAAAGTAAGATTTAAAGTTTTTCTTTTTCTAGTTTGTTGTTAATCTGTATAACCACAATTAGTATTCATATATTACCTTTGCATATTTCTGGTTGTACTAGGTTTTATTCTTGTTGTCATTATTGTTCAATATAGTAGTCCCCCTTATTCAGAGTTTAACTTTCCACTGTTTCAGTTACTCATGTTTATGTACAGTCCCAAACATATTAAGTATAAGGTTCTAAAAGTAGATAATTCATAACTTTTTAAGTACATGTTGTTCTGAGTAGCATGACAAAATCTTAGTGTCCTGCTTTATCCAGCCTGAGATATGAATCATCCCTTTGTCCATCAATCATACTGTTAGACACCCACCAGTTAGTCACTTAGTGGCTGTCTTGATTATTAGATGGACTGTGGAAATACGAGTGTTGAATGTCTGTGTTCAAATATCCCTTACCAAGTAGCATAACTACTTCACAATGTCTGTCATTTACCACACTTTATCTTATCATGTACTCATTGTATCATTTCATGTCACAAGAGGAAGGGTGAGTGTACAGTAAAATATGATAAAATATATCGAGAGGACTATATTCACATAATTTTAAATATACTATATTGTTATAATTCTATTCCTTATTGGTGTTTATCTTATACTGTGCATATCATGTAAATTAAACTTTATCATAGATATGTATAGGAAATAATATATAAGCTTCAGTGATACCCAGTTTCAGACATCTACTTGAGGTCTTGAAATACGCTCCTCCTCAGATAAGGGAAATTACTATTTATATATTCCCTTAGATTTAAAATATGCCCTCCTGAAATTAAAGCACTTTACTTTTTCATATTTTTAAACTAGTATTTTCTTTTTTTTTCTTATTCTGTTTTACTTAATAGAACCTATTGCACAATATTGAATAGAAGTGGACTGAACATTCTTAGCAATTCACTAAATTTGGAAAGAAGACATGTAATGTTTTGGGTTTTTTTGTTGTTGTTGTTTTGTTTTGGGTTTTTTATTTTTTGTTTTGTTTTGTTTTTAGGTCTTTTTAAGGCAGGATCTCAATGCAGTTCAGGCTGGCCTTGAACTCAATTTGTATCCCCACCTGGCTTCAAATTCATAGTGTTCCTCCTGCCTCAGCCTTCCAAGTGTAGGGATTACTGGTGTACACCACCATTCCCAGCTTTAATACTTCACTTTTAAGCTTAAATTTTCATAAATGCTTCTTTTTTTTTTTT